TTAAAAAAAATTTGATGAACTATAAGTGGGCAACTAGTGACTTGTATAAGAATGTAAGAAATCATATACTTTCATACTTAATTTGTCAAAAATATAATCTCAAAGTCCCAAAGAAACCCATTTATATTGTGGCAATAAGCTAGATTTTTCATAAGTTGTTTGTTGATTATATAGGTCTAATACATCAAGCCAATACAGAACACAAGTATATTGTAGTAGTGACCTAACAGAATTTGTAGAAGCTTGTGCACTTAAAAGAAAAAATGCAAAAAGTGTTACTCAATTTATTTGGGATGATGTGATCACTTAGCATAAATGCTTTGCAGAATTAGTATTTGATAGAGGTACTAAATTCAAAAACAATATAATGAATGAACTTACTATGCAGTTTGCAATTAACAAAAATTTTGCAACAAGTTATCACCCCAAAGCTAATAGTAGAGCCAAAAGAACTGTTCAAAAAATTACTAAGGTGTAGTAGAAGAATGTGAATATTTACCTTTTAGACTGGTATATAGAAAATATGCAATTATGACTTTAAAAATAACTATTGAAATTTATCAAACATTCATACTAAAAAGATCTTGGAGTACCAAAGAGTTGTTGGAGTTTTGAGTTCTAGAAATGAAAAATTTGAGTCATGAATTGAAAGATGTGCAAATAAACTATGATAAATTAAGGGAGTGTTAGAAACAGTTCTATGACCAAAAACTTACTTATAGCAAAGAAAAGATTGAAGTCAATGATTTGGTTTTAATCTATAATTCAACACTGAGAACTTCTTTGTCGCGTAAACTTGATTATTAGATAGGTTCTTACAAAGTATGTCAGATTGGGAACCATAGCTAGTTTTATCTTTCTAAGCTTGATGAAATTGAATTAAGAGATCCAATTACCAAAGACAGAGTCAAAAGGTTGCAACAATCAAGTGAAGATGTTTTAGATCGTGAAGAAGATGAAAAGAAAGATTGTGACCTCGAGGACAAAGGCCATGGAGGATCTAGCTCATGTCATGGTGGAAATAAGTATGTGGTATACTTGGTAAAAGGAATTGATCTGGATTTCTGAGACAATAGTAATAAACGAAAGTGTTGATAAATATATATATATATATATATGTATACAAATCTTGACATATGTCTTCGGATCGAAGAAAGTAGAAACGAATAAGTTATCATGTGCACGTGATCCAGGGAAGATCAATCAGAATTGTAAGCATTAGATCAAACCACGATCAATTATGTAATAATCGGTAATGCAGAAAGTTTATCGAAGTAAGATAAGATAATTTTAAGGAATAATTAATAAGATCAATTATGGTAATATAGGAGTTTAACGATCTTATGATCGAAATATGATGTAATAGTTTAGGTCTAATTAGGCTGTTTGAAATTAAAATTTGTTTAACGTTCTCCCCCTCCACCTCAAAGATCCCCCCTAAAATTAAACAGGCCAATCAGAACGTTCATTACGCCAATAAGTCACGTGCTTACAAACCAACCAATAATAATGTGATTATTTTTGCGATATAACATAATGTTTGTTTAAATTGATACCCCTCCCCCACTCGCTTAAGCTTCAAAAAGGAACGTTAAACGAAATTACAATTTCAAACAGCCTTAGCTATAAAGGAGCAAAAGCAATGTAATTATAAAACGTTCTTGTTCTTTCATAACGAAAAGTAACCAAGTATAAAGTAAATACGTACTTATCCTTGTGAATAAAATCCCGATTCGCTTTAGGCGAAAGTTAATAGTGGTCAACTTCTGAGCTAGGTTATTTAATGCGCAAGTTATTAATTAACCCGCGACACTGCAAAGGGAAAGGCTGTATAACGAATTGCTATTCATATTTGTAATTTTACGTAATGAAATAAGCGTTTTGCTAAAGTCCGTAAATAATTCTTTAGTTATGATTGTTTAAAATGTAAGCAACATGAGTTCTGATTTACGCTCATTTAACTATTAATATTAATATATTTAGTTTTTAATTTTTATATTAAACATTACAATGAACGTCAAATCTTTTATTGTTGCCATAAAATTTTATTAAAATTCTCATTTAAATAATTCATTTTATCTGTGATCAATATTTGTACTGTATAAATAATGTTTAAGAACGTTAGTGACTGTTTCAGGTTCCATTCATATATTTTCAATAAATAAAATTAAAATTTTATTGCCTGTATAATTATTTCTTGTTTTATAATTTAAGTAGCTAACAAAAAAAGCAAGACAAAAAATTAATGCCAAGTTTTATCTATCTTTTATCAGCGATAAGCGAGTAATGTTGTATTTTGACACATGGGTTCTTTGCCTTGAAAATAACCTTACGGTACATGATACCGTAAGGTCATTTTCACGGCAAAGACCCCACATGGCTAAATAATGATAATCTGATAGAGTAAACCTTATGTAGTGATGTCAATTTTTCTAAAAATGTAAATCGCTCATTAGAGAATCGATATATGGGTAGTTTCAAGAAGAGTGAACCCAGTGATATCTTCGTGATAATCACATTACAATATTAAATACTCGGCCTTAGGCGATAGTATTTTTAGGCCAAATTCGTTAGTGCTAGTAAACAAATGACGTCATTCCATGATTTCACATAATGTGATGATCACTGGGTTCATTCTTCTTTAAGTGTCCCCATAAAATGTATTTTATATTCGTAATAATATCCTGAAATTTTTTGGAGTAGTTATTAGAATTGTTATTACTACTAGGTTAATGCGTAGTATTGGTACGGAATAATAATTATAATATTGCACCGCGTGATATGCTTTTGTTACACTAAAGTACAAATATAGCATGTCATTTTTGATACACCATTATAATATATCTAATGAATTAATCAAGAGCGTAACTTTAATGCATCAAAAACGTAACCATTGTATTATCATAACTAAACATTAAAAGTCCTCCGCTACGCTCCGGACAATAACAGGAGGGAACGTTGTTGTTACACAACTGATTTTACACACGGTGTGAAGCACATAAAAAAATGATTTTACAATACTTGATCGGACTTGATGGTGTTGGATTATAATCATAACATGTACTAGCTGACTGATCAAGTCCGAGCAAGTATTGTAAAATCATTTTTTTATGTGCTTCACACCGTGTGTAAAATCAGTTGTGTAACAACAACGTTCCCTCCCGTTTAGAACCGGTTCTGGCCGCTACACATATCATCTGTAAAAAAAAAAAGTAGTATTGATTTCTTCGGCATCATGCCCAATGATGGTATAATTGGAAGCAGATCGTAATATTGTTAATTTAGTCAAAGTTATAGAGAAGAAGGCATACTAGTAATTGTGACTGATATATTAGGCACATGAAATAACATTGTTCGAAGTAAAGCGGTACTCTGGATTCCGTTTCCCTCGTTATAATGAAGTGTCCGGACTGTGAGATCTTCATTATATCAAGAATCTATTAGTAAATTCACTATATCGAGAGGATTTTTATATAAACTTGCCTTCACTACTGTATAACGAGAGTTCACTATGACGAAAGTACTTGTATATCGTAATTTACAGTCCTAACAGTCTCACAATTTTCATACTAAATTTTAATAGTAAAAATTATATATATTTAAGTTGGAAAAATATATATGGTGCCGATAAGCACAATATTAGAGCACTAATAAAAATTAGGGTTGGGAGGATAAAATTGCGTGAGGAACATTTTTGTTAGTAACACAACAGGGCTACCCTAGCAAAATTTTGAGATATGGAGGGTGCACCAAATGCACGATACATCATATAACAATTTCTTTTTTAATCCTACACGATTTATGTATACTTTTATTTTGTTCAGTTTTGATACCATTATATTGAATATCGAGAAATTTCAACGTAGTGTTCTTTTAAAGTGTATCCACTAATGCTTTTTTTTTCCTGATCCGAGATTACCGTAAATCGCAGTATACAAGACCCCATAATAGTAGTATGTCCGGATGAGAATCACGAGATCTATATTAATCAAACATGAGTTTTTTCAATATCTGGATTGCCTATTATAAATGCAAAACGTGCATATTCTTCAAAGCTTTCCTCTTAGTGACATGAGCTCTCGGCTGTATACTAGACTCGGGTCTATTATAGGTTTTAAAATTGGTGGAATGTAAGAGACCCGGGGTCTTGTATACGGTGATTTACGATATTACCATTAAGGTTAAAGAAATTAGCATAGAGTCCTTGTAAAGTGCACCTGCTAACGCTTTTCCACCTTCTGGCCCAATCCAATTAGTTTGAAGATTCAAAGAAGTCAGTGTGGTGTTCTTGCAAAAGTGTATCCACTAATGCTTTTCCCTCTTTTAATCCAAGATAATTTTAAGTAAGATTCAAGAAGTTAACGTTGTATTTTTGCAAGTGCATCAGTTAATGTTCTTCCTCCCTTTGATCCAAGATTATTCCAATCAAGATTCAAAGAAGTTAGCGTGGTGTTCTTGCAAAATGCATCAGCTAATGATTCTCTTCCTTCTGATCAAGACTGTTATAAAGATGTCAGCGTGGTGATTTGATATGTGAATCTGTAATGCTTTTCCACCTTCTGATCCATGATTATTCCAACCAAGATTCAAAGAAGTCAGGGTGGTGTTCTTACAAAGTGCATCTGCAAATGTTTTTCCTCCTTCTGATTACCCCAAAGGTTGTATAGTGTTCTTGCAAAGTGCGCTTGTTAACTCGTTTAAATTTTCCAATCTACATTTATTCCAGAAAAGATCCCAGGTTGAAGCACTTTTTGATCTTCGGAACTATGCCGGCTATTTTGAGAATTCTTCAAAAAGTTCTAACGTTTTAAGAAATTTACGTTGCTCGAAACATTTATATGCTTCCTTCCTTAATTTCTCAAGAGTATTGGAATTTATTGTATCTGATAAATAAAGTGGAGATGACGTCAATAAAGCGTAGCTGATGTCTTAAGTGAATTAATATTTGGATTGACAAGACTTGAAGAATTTGTATTAGTTTTAATTGAATGTAGATTGATTTAACCTTCGTTAGCGAGTTGATTTGAAGTATTGGAATTTATTGTATCAAATAAATAAAGTGAAGATGATGTCAAATAAAGTGAAGCTGATGTCTTAAGTGGATTGACAAGACTTGAATAAGTCGTATTAGTTTTGAATGTTCGTCAGTGGTAGATTGATTTAAGCCTTAGGATTCTTATCCCAACATTGTTTGTAAAGTTCAATATACTGCAGTGGTGTGTCTTTGATAGGCTCTTCTCTTTTCCCTTGCGATATTAACTAATTATTATATACAGTATATATCAAAGGATTTGAATGGTGGTCTACCACTTGAAATTCCCAAAGAATTATTCCAAAACTATAAATATCAGTTTTCTTATCACGTTTATATCCAGGGACAATAAAGCATTGTGGTTCAGTATAAGCAAGTATTCAATGAGCAATCGAATTTGAAGTTGTTTCATTTATCTGTTTTGATATCCAAAATCTGCTTTTGATGGGATGTCATGTGAGGTGGTTGCTATACTACTCTATACATTTAGAACTTGTGCGATCCTCGTCAACAATCCCTTATTGTACTACAGATGTATTTATTAGCTACAGGACGTGACTGTAGGTTAAGAAGGGTTGATCACGATTGTTGTGTAAAAATAATTATAATTCCAGACAACCAATATTTTATTAAAAATGCGTTGGGGTTATAGTCAACAAATCAAAGAAAAGAATTTATATATTATTTTAAAGTTTTAATATAATAAATATTATAAAATACAGGTCAAAAAAAAAGCATAATTTAGATGAAAGTATTGAAACGATAAATTTAATAACTAAAGAACCTTTAGGCTTGTTCATCTACAATAAATATTTTAAAAGCACCTGCTTATCTGAAGTATCTAAAGTTGAATATGAAATAACCGACTTGTCAACATTTTTCAACGAATATTCTTTGAAAGTGTCATCTAGCAATGATAAAAATAAAATAATGATATACATTATTTTATGTTTTGATCATTGCCGAAATTACAAACTTATCGATCAATTTTTCACCAGATATCTCAAATTTATGAGAACAGCTGTAAAACTTATAAAAAAATTTTCAAAATTTTTCAAAATTTAACCCAGTCGGGTTGTGAAACCAATCAATTAATTTTGCATAATCTTAGCAAGATATTTAAAATCTCGGTACCAACTTTCAGGGGTCACATCTACTATGTTAAATTTACTACATATTTCATCCTTTAAATGAATCCACATTACTCTAACTTGCTTTATTTGATCATCGTCAGGCTGTTTTCGTTCTAAAAGTGGCCACCACTCTAGATGATGCTTTTTTATATGTTCTTCAAATGGAAGCACGATTTCATCATTATCTCCCTCACGATAATTTTGATTAAAATGGCCAGGCTCGTTACATATTGTTAAATTTGCATGTCGTGTTTCAATTTTATGAACGCCACCAAAACAAGTCATGAAGTGAAATGATGCTCTATGATTTGTATTGGGCTTATGTTCTTCTAATTCGCATTTTGACCTAAAATTTAGAATATATTAAATTATTTTATAATAAATTCTCATATAAATTATAACTTACCCGCAATATGGACATCTATATCGACATCCTTTAACTTTATTCCAATACGATGCCTTAGAATTATCTATACGATCTATTGATTTTTTTTTTGAAAGGATCTGCATGCTGAGTTTTCCATAGTTTGTTAAATTCTTTCACATATAAAAAAATCTTGAGGATAGATAATAATACATTTTCCAAGAACACATATTGCATCCTCTATTGAATTTTCTGGGCATATAGTCTCATTTGAAGATACAAATATACGCTGATTCAATTTCATATCTTTAGTCTCATTTTTGACCATTTCTTTATTCAAGATAATTTCTTCAAGGGGTAAATTCTTATCAGACTCTGAAAAATTTTGCTGACAAGTTAATATGATTACACCAAGTTTTTCTAATGCATCTTTAATCTCCTTTTCTATTTTTTCTAATCTTTCTTCAACTTTTATACCTTTAACAATTTCAATATCATTTTCAAATAATTCTTTCATAAATGATGTTGGATTATGAATATATTTACGAGTTTTTTCAACATCATATTTACCAAAGCTCTGTTCATAGGCATATCATGTAGGGTTTCTAATTTCGCTCATCCAATTCTCCTTCAAATGCATCTCTAACACTTTTGATATATATTCTTCTTGGATAACCAGCTGTTTTTCGACTGCTTTATCAACATATTTGATAAAATGTGCAGAAATATTTTTATAAGAGGTATTACTTAATATATCATTAAAATATTTTAATAAATTTTCACGAAGTTCATTGAGATTATTTTGTTGTGAAGCTTTCCATTTCGCAGTACTATCTTCTAATGCAGTAAAAACTTTGAAGCGTAAATATTGCTAAAAATATAAATATGTATTAATATAGTAGATAAGTTATAAAGTTATTAATGAGTTTGGTGATTAAGTTCATCTTGCACAATAAGAATATTATTGCACAATACTTTAAGCTATTCTAAAGCTTGATTAAATTTAATTGCAAGAGCATTTCGAAACAGAATATTATCACATATTTGTTTGCAAGTGTCTTCAAGTTCAGTTTTAATCCTATTTGTAACTGTATTCTCAAAGGTTTATTTTCTATTTTATTTGTAGTAAATGCATTTTTAACTTTAAAAAGAGAACTCTTTGTAGTTATTTTAATACTATCAATAATTTGCTTATCGATATTATCTAAAAATATTTTGTTTAAAGTTGCTGGCATTGTGGCTTTATTCCAAAATATTCTGTTATTCTCTGAATTGCTCTTATTGTTACTTGCAGTGCATCCATCTTCTATAGCCTGATTAAAAGAGTTGACTACATGTTGTTTTAGCTCTTTTACTTCCTTTGTCATTGTGTGCATAAAATTTTCTATATCTTTTTCTATCCTTTCTCATTCTTCATTAAATAACTCTTTACGTTTTGACTCAGAAAAAATATTTTAAACTCATCAGGTGTTTTATCTTTATGTCCTCTAAGAATTTTTCACCAATTCGAATTTGTGCTAGTTTTATTAGCCAAGATTCTTTAGATTGCCGTTGTCTTTTTTCATATATTGCTTTAAGGTCTAGTTTTTTAGCAGCAAATGCTAATTTTATATAGGTTTCACCTTCATCGATTATTTGTGCATCATATTGATTAGAAATTTTTTCTTTAAAATCAGCAATCACTTCAGCACATCGCATTTTTGTTTCTTGAGTAAGATAATTTTCAAAGTCTATATTATTGTTTTCATTCCATTGTCCTTTACTTGTTTGTTCTTCTATCAATTTTAATTCATTTTCTTTATAAAACTTTATTGTAGTTTCATAGTAACTGCAAGCCAGTCTTTTCATTGCACTCCACTGTTGTATCATTTAGAGTCTTTAAAATGAAAAAAATTGCCATGGACATCAATTTCTTTCCAAACTGTCTGCATGTGTGTGATAAATCCTTTCAGTAGACACAAGTTTTAAAATTATCATATTATATTTTATTCATAGAAATATTTACTTAAATATATATTTAAATAATTCTTACCATGGACGTTTTTGAATATTTGGGATTCATGATTTTCACTTGGAATTAATGCAGAATCGAGTAATTCTTTGCGAAGTTTTGAGATTTTTAACAGAAAAGTTTCTTATATTTTTAAAGATCTTAATATCAAATAATAAAATATAACACTTATTATATACTAAACTTACAGAGGGATAATGAAAGTTTTCACTGTCTATAGTTGATTTTGAGTAAAAATCATCAAAAAAACAAGTAAATGCATTCTTTAATAAATAAATATCCTGTTCTTCTACAATCATAAAATTATCTATATTAAAACAACCCAGAATTTCATAAAACATCTTTTTTAAACCTTCACAAATATCTTTAAATGCTGGTTGTTGGGCTGTTTTAGCATTTATCATATCTCGTAAAACAAAACTAACTTTTGGTTTATTAAATTTTCTATTATTTAAAGCTTCTAGATGATATGAAGAAACCTCCAGAGTATCTGAAATATCTCTTGTAAGTTCTTTAGTATTAACAATTAGGATTTGAGAGCACATAAAACCAAGAAGCGTTATTTTTTTATCAAAATCTGTATGTCTTGAGATATACTTTGCTGCCGTAGATCCCATTTCTTCAGAATCTATTATTAAAATATCCAACTCTTTCTCTTTATAGAAAGTATGCTGATATAACATATATGCATCTATCATATAATATATTTTGATTTATATGTATGAATTCTAAAATAATTCATAAAAGAATCCTGATATAACTTACTTTTTGTACTAAATAAAAATAATTATTAAAATTTAAATGATTAATACAGTATTAATAAACGCACATTTAATTCTTACCATCATCTAGCAGAGGTTGAAAATTCACATTGAAACAAATAATTTAACAATGTAGATTTTCCAGAACTTTCGAGTCCAATAACCAAAAGAACAATTAAATATCATTTAGAGTTTAACATTATTTGGCTTAAAACAGATGAAAGAAAATCAGAATTTAATGTTCTGAGTGATACGCCTTCTAATATCTGAACTGCTTTTTCTTCACGTATCCAAACACTACATCAGCAAATTTAATAGGGCGTAATATTGTGCAATAATTTATGAAGCGTAAGAAAACTATAAAATTACGTAATAACTTTTGCAATATACAATTACGAAATATTACGTAAGATTATTACGCAATATTACACAAGAAATTATGCAAAATTACGTAAAATAATTTGAAATAATTCGAAACAGATTGAGATAAAAATCTATGAACTATGAGACAAATTAATTTGAAATAGTTTGATTAAAATCAAAAATGTTTAAAATAATTATACTTAATTAAAAATATTGAGCTATAATTTTTAAATATCAATAATCAAGAATGAAACAGATTAAGATAAATTACAATGAACGATTATATCAAAATAATTCAAAATAATTCGAAAAATATTAAAAATATTTGATATAATTAAAAATAATTAATAAAAATAAAGAGAAATATATTAAATGTAAATATTCAAAAATAAAATATAAATAATTCGAAATATTCCGAATTATATTAAAAATAGATCATCCGAAATTTAAAGGGCGTAATATTTCGAAATAATGAGAGGATCGTAAAAAACCTAAATATTATGTAATTAATTTATAGATTGTAAGAAAACCAAATATAAAGTAAATAATTCAAAATATTGGAAATATACAAATTACATAATATTATTTTAGACATTTCAAAATATTTCGAAATTTATTACAAAAATTAAGAATGAAACCATTACACAATAATTCGGAAATATTCAAATGAAATAAAAATAATTAGAAAAAGCTAGAGTCATTTTATTAACCATAATAAAGACGAAAATAAAATTATTATTTTAAAAATATTCGAATTATTTCGAAATAATAAGAATATTAAAAATATTAATATATATTTTAAATACGTATAGTATATTTTAAAGTCAAGTAACGAAAAAATTTAAACTTTTAGATCTTATTTACGCTTATAGTTATTTATCTTTATATTTTAAATAATTTCTAAATATTATAATTTTGCTTTTATTTCTAATAATACTTTATTA